CAGAGACTCATCTAAAGAATAAGGTGGAGAATAGTGAGAGAGACACCTAGAGTTGACCTCTGGGACACATGTGTGTGTGCACCCCTCCCCACAGGTACGCTCCCTTGCATACACACATGAACTTATGCAGGTACATAAAGTGTCTGATTGACACCTATAAAGCAGACTAGCTCTTCCCTACTGTACCTTTCCCTTTCCTGGTGCTGTATTGCTTAGGTGTAAGGTGAGTTAGCCAGCAGCATATCAGGGATATAAATTGTTAAGCTTGTTGGAATTCAGTTAAAAACTAAAATTCTTTTTTCAACATGTGCTTGGTAAGTTTTATGAACTTTTTTTGTGACAGTACTTAGGATTGAACCAAGGGTCTCATAGATGCTAGACAAGGTTCTGCCATTGAGGTATTGTCCCATTCCTAATTATGTGCTTTTACTGATTGGTGGACTTAAGTACTACATCATTAGAACAGACTGAAATTGTTCCTATAATTTTCAACATAAGAACATTTATAAAGCAAAGAAGTGACAATATGAAACAACAGTGAAGCTAATGTCTTAGTGAAAAAAATGTGCAAAGCCTGAGAACCCAGTTAACTTGTCTGTATAAATGGGGGTGTAGCCTGCTCTTAGGACAAATGTGGGGTGGTTTTTTGCTTGTGTAGTTCTCCAAAGGTATCTATCTGGAAATGATCTCATTTACTAAGGACAAGCTTATATAGGTTTGTGGCTGATCTTTTCCCAAACTCTTATTGGCAGTGAGTATTTGCTTTGGTTCTTGAATATCTGTAGGCTGATAGTCATGAATGAGGACCCAGGAGATTGTGTATGACTGCCAGCCAGAAGGTCTGAATTGTAGACTCAACTCTGCCCAGTATTGTCCTACTGGTTTATAACTCAGTGAAGTGCTGCAATAGAGACATTGAGGCAAGATACGCTTTCTTAACCCAGTCACTGAAATTCAAAAGTGTGGAAGGGACTAGAAGAGTGAGTGCCAGAGGTATGAAACAAAGTTCTTAAGGAAGTAACCAGAATGAGTACCAGGACATCAGCGAAATCCTGTCTCGGGGGAAAAAGTTTTAAAGGAAGAGAGTCAAACTATTAGGATACTGGATTAGATTTTATAGGAGAGGAAAATTTAGGAATTTGTTTAGAAACAGAAGCAGAGTTTTGACATTTGAAAATAAGTTGAAAAGGCTGGTAAAATGGCTCAGTGCATTAGAGAACCTGCTGCCAACCCTTATCTTATTTCAGTTTACAGAGCCCATTCCTACAACTTGACCACTGACCTCTGTGTGCCCTGTGGCACACACAAAACCCTTTTCTTTAAAATGAAGATAAAGGATTTGACGGTCTTTTTTTATGTGGGACAATGCCCCTAAACTGTAATGATAACTCACAAACCAACTATTATGTACTTTAAAAAAAATTTTTTTCTCACTTCCATCTCCTTCCTGCAATGTTTCCCATGTTTCATCCTCCAACCGTTCTGATACCCACAGATGTTTTCAAAGTTAGTCTCTCTTTCTTTATTGTTGGTATATAGCTTCTCCACACGGAGGAGATAATTAGTCTTTTGTAAGGATAAGCCCAACTGATTGTAGAGTACCAAGTGATCAGCCCTGAAATCATACGTGCAAGCAACTCAGAAAGATGTATGTCTATATACACATACACACAAACTGCTATTTTGGGGACAAGTTGTCGCATGCCTTTAATCCCAGCATTCAGGAGGCAGAGGCAGGTGGATCTCTGAGTTCGAGGACAGCCTGGTCTACAAGAGCTAGTTCCAGGACAGGCTCCAAAAGTTACAGAGAAACCCTGTCTTGAAAAAAACAGTCTTTTATTTTCTTGGTTGTCAAGCTATAATTGTATATAAGAAAGCAAACTGATGTGTGGACATAGTTTAGCATGAAAATAATCCAGTACTCAGGAAGCCAAGGCAAGAGGATTTCAAAACCGAGGCCAACCTGGACTACATTCTGATTCTCTAACTCAAACAAAGAAGCTAAGTTACCTCCCTATATAGAAGTGTAAGTGTTACACTTTACAGATAGCATTAATTTTAAGCAGACAGGAAAACTATATCATTTCAACTTTCTGTAACTTCAAAAAATGTTGAAATAAATAACCAAAGCTTTTGAATCATTTTTATTTATTTTTACTAGAACAGCTCACAAAAAGTCCTATAGGGCTTTCTGTGAATCCATGAACTACCTCAAACATTTTATTAAACATGTCACAAACTTAATTTAATTCTCTCATTACCATCTTTAAGTGCTGATCAATATTTATTTTCTGTCCTTGACAGAATATAAATTTTTTGAGACCATTTATATTTTATTCCTGTCTTAACACTGGAACTGACACCTACTGTTGCTGGATCTAGTATATATTAGCCCCCTAGCTCGGCAAGCTCTGCAGTCATTCATCAGTGGGGCAGTACCTGTCAGTCATAATGAATGGCCTGTTCATTGTGAGATGGTTTTCCTTTTTCATCTTACTGTATCCCACAGTATCTTTGAGCAGAAATTCACTCTGTCAGGCTTTAATAGTGAAAAATAATACCTCTTAAATATTTGTATTCTCTACTTCCCAAAGATATTTCCTCCTTTAAGATTCATTAGATATCATATTCTTGTTTTCTTAGATACAGTTATTGGTTCTTAGTGTTCCTTGGAGAGTAGAGATTCTTAATGGGAGTTTGGGTTACAACTGTGCACAATCAGCCAGCCTCTTAGTGGTTAGTGATATTTGCGGCTTAGGATGGAAGCCTAGAACAGCCTGTACATCAGACAATATTTTGATAATTGTGAGATGTGGGCTAAGTCAAAGAGCAGGTAGAAGTAGAATTCAACTATGGTTGATTCAGACAGTGTGATGTATCCTTTCTTATTAATTTGATAGTTATAGAGAGCTGTTAGGTAGTTACTATCTCCATTTTACATCATCATACCGTCTAGTAACAGAAAAGATGTTCACGAAATGTTGAGTGATGTTGAACTAGGTCTGACTCCTGTGCCCATGGTGGGGCTCAGCATACTACCACAGACTGCTGGGGTGACTTTGTGGATGTGTTCCCTCTGGTCTTTTAGGATAATACTGTCCAGTAGTGCATGTCTCTGAGATAGAAACTAGTGTGAAAAGTTTATAAAAACTGACTTTAAGTCAATGTTGGAATGTGTTTTCTCTGTGATGTATGTATTTATAGATATTGACTTAGATATCCCTTTTAAATATTACTAATTTCAAGAACCATAACTAGTAACTACACATTTTAATTTATTTATGCTTGCCACACACTTGTATGTTCTATTCTCCTCACTCACAACTCTGAAAACTTCAGTCATGCATCTTGTTAAAGGTAGTGATGTATCAGCTACTAATTATGAATCCACAGTGATGATATATAGCACTTTGCTATGGTAATATAAATTTAAGTGAATTTCTCTTTTTTGGGGGGGGGTTGGACAGGGTTTCTCTGTAGCTTTGGTGCCTGTCCCGGAACTAGCTCTTGTAGACCAGGCTGGCCTCGAACTCCCAGAGATCCGCCTGCCTCTGCCTCCCGATGCTGGGATTAAAGGCGTGTGCCACCACCACCCGGCTGTGAATTTCTCTTTTTATTTTTTATTTGTGATAACTGTATTTTAGAAATCTTATTATGAAATTTTTAGTAGAAATGCCAGATTTTACTCCCCAGGATTGACCATTCTCTCCCTCCCCCCCTTTTTCTCTCTCTCTCTGTAATTTCTATGTACTGGATGAACGGACAGGTGCATATTTTGATATTGGGGGTGTCTACTGAGCCGTCTATTTTTAGTGGCCCTGTCCTAGTTTCACTGGCCATCTAGTGGTGACATCTGTACATGCCTGTGGGTGGGAGGTGTATGTCTGACTGAACTCACAGTTGGAATATTCCAAGCTTATGTGTCTAAATTGGAAATGAGTATACTTTCTTACTGGTTTAATGACGATCACATTTTCTGTATGTAAACAGAGACTGCTTTTTCGTTTCCCGTCCACCCGACCTGAATAATCACGCAGAAACTATATTATAACACTGTTTGGCCAATCGCTGAGGCGTATTTCTAGGTAGCTCTTACATCTTAAATTAACCCATTTCCATTAATCTGTGTATTGCCACGAAGCTGTGGCTTACAGGTAAGGTTTTGACATCTTTTTAATGGCAGCTGCATGGTGTCTACCTGACTCTGCCTTCTTTCTTCCTCTGTCTCTGCTTGGATTCCCCACCTTGTTATATTTTGCCCTGCCATGGGCCAAAACCGCTTCTTCATTAAGCAATGGTAATAATAAAACACATTCACAGCCTACAGAGGGGAAACCCACATCATTTATGGCTTCCTGGGCCTTTTAAATCTCTGAAGAATGAATAGTATATTCTTTAGAAAATGAGAAAATTAAAGTGTAATTTAAATGGAAAAGGCTGGTATTCCACAAATACCAGAGATGACAATAAACAAACAAAACCTTAGTGTTGATAGTATAAGTTGTGTGAAGTTCCGCCAGGCAGTTTTCATAGAACAGCACTCTGTTAGGAATTTGTTGTGAGTCCTCTTCAGGTTTTGATGGAAACACTTTGAAAATATGCCTTTAATGTTGAAAATGTGTCTTTAATGTTGTTCATATGAGTAGATTAATAGTCAGCGTTTGCTTTTTAATCTTAGTAATTAATGAGACTAGCAATAGAGCAGAATGCATTTAGTTATTTTAGAATAATATTTTGCAGTTGGAATACTTGAAAACAAATACTTTATGAATTTGTAATAATTAGTGGTGCTTTTAAATAATCTTTTAATATTTATTAGTCTAAAAACATTATAACATTTTTGATGCAAAATGCTCTTCATTTTCTTGTAAGCTTCCAACCCTAATATTTTCCTTTCTTTCATGTCACATATGTCCTTTGCCCCTTTCCCAGTAAGCATCTCTTGTTTCCTTTTTGTGATCTCCTTTAGAAACGTGAAGATTTTCTTTGTTTTTCCGCAGAAACGTGCTAAGGGACAAGTGTTGTTTGACAAAGTGTGTGAACACCTCAATCTCCTGGAGAAGGACTACTTTGGGCTTCTATTTCCAGAAAATGCTGAGCACAAAGTAAGTGACTTCAATTCTGTCCTTTTAGGAAGTAAGTACTCTATCTTTCTAATCAGTTAATTTCAGAATAAATTTAACTTTAATTTACATGCTTATCATGAGGTTTTGGCAAATATTTAAAAATGATTATGTGAGAGACTCACGCTTTTTGGCATTTTGGGTGTATAATGCTTTCTCATTGTAAGCAGGTGGAATTGAATCTTTTCCTATCTTAATTGAGACTGAAAAATGTGAGTTTAAAATTATATGAAAGTGTTAGCTCTAAAATTCACAGTAGAATCTACTTATGTAATGAATTGTTGAGGGGAAAGTACTTCAAATTAAAAGATTTAGTAGTGGGGAAAATTGACTATCTAACATGAAGATTATCTTTTAAATTAATATTATCAAGTCATGTCCCAGTTTTGCCTTATGGTGCCAAATACAGAGGGCAGCCAAGTAGACTCATTTTGCCGACATAAAGATGTGCAGTCATCTGCATAGTAGTATTGAATAAGCCTGAGCAGCAGGGGCGTGAGTGCACAGACGCGTAGGAGGACCCTTGAGTACTTTGTGTGGCAAAGTTACTCCTACCTCAGTTAGTTGTTGGGGGCAGAAAAGGTGGTTGGGCAGCTTTCTCAGGTGGTTTATTTGACCAGCCACTGCTGGATTGATCCTGGTAGTACTTTTTACCTGATGTCAAAGAGTGTGCTGAGAACGTGTCTACTCTTAAGAATTTTTTCAAGACATTAAGCAAGAGCATATGGTGATCAGATCTGAACTTCATACTAATTTTATAGACCTTAGAGCATAGGGTTGTCTGTGATCTGAAGCTCATATTAATTTTATTGAACTTCAGAGACTTTCAGTTTCAATCAATTAAGGATGGAAACATCAACTCTTCGTGACAGAACTAGGGGCTGATCTGTAGCTGTCAGCATTATTAGGAAAAGGCTTTCCTCTTCTGCTTCACTCTGTGAGTGTCTAGATTTGGTGTGGGTGAGAAGATGCTGATTGTAGGAGTGAAGAATGTAAGTTTGTCCTTCTCTACAGAGGAAGCCTGTTTATAGTCTGTTAGATTGTTGCTGTGGAACGTCTGCCTTAGGGTGTACAGAGCTCTCAGTTAGCGTGAAAGGGGCTTCTGTCTAACACCAGGCGTTCCTATCTTAGTCAGTAGAGCACAGTAGTCGTTAGAGGAAGCAGAGTGTGCATTGTCACATGCCTGCACAGTACCATTGTTTGTGTTTACTTATCCCAGTAATGAAATAAAGGGGTTCAGTTTTAAGCCTGGTAATTAAATGCAAATTAAATATTTTCAACTTTCTCAGCTTTAAATCCCTGGTAGTAACTTGTAGTTTAATTCTACCTTTAGACTAAAGACAAATTACATGTCTGCTTGTTGAATAGTATGTACATTTATTAGTATTTAGAATACTCTCCTCAGAAGTAATAACACACTTCATTAAATAAACTAAGTGCCTTTTAAGGCAGTAAATTACAAGTTGGTCTTGATAATGGTTCCAATCATGTGCTTATCCATTGCTCCTGAAAGCTCCAAAAGAGAAAGTGCTGGGAACTTGGCAATTGTATCTTTTTCTGAGATTTTCTATTGGCAGATTCATAAGAATGTTTAATTTTTGTAAAATATGAAGACAAATGTTGTAAATGCTTTGTACAAACAAAATAAATAGCATTAGGACATTAGGTATTTCTGGAATATTCCTTTTGACTAAGATAGTATTTATTTATTTATTTATTTATTCATTCATTTATTTATTTATTTATTTAGTTAGTTTTTTTGAGACAGGGTTTCTCTGTGGCTTTAGAGCCTGTCCTGGAACTAGCTCTGTAGACCAGGCTGGTCTCGAACTCACAGAGATCCGCCTGCCTCTGCCTCCCGAGTGCTGGGATTAAAGGCGTGCGCCACCATCGCCCGGCCTTTGACTAAGATAGTATTTAGACAGTAGGATTTACTATTTTTTAAATTTAAACTTGGAATACACATGCCTAGTTCATGTCTTACAGCTGAACCTTTGATCCATATACTCAACTGTCTTCTGAACACTCCTGCTCTAACAGCTGTATCTTTTGTATCTAACTATATCTTCCCCTTAATGGCACCTGTCCCTGAAGAATAGTCCTGGACTCTTGTTTCTTCCTACTCTGTGAATAGCCGGGTGTCTTTGAGCTTACCTGACTTAGAAACATTGAGTGCTCACAGATTAATTCCCTGCAGCTGGCTTGAGCTTTACTCCTCAGTCTGTCTCACAGCATGCAGGTAATCCTTGATGGTGTAGCTCTCTGCTCATACATACTATGCTGCATTGACGGTTTCTTTCTCTTACTGTTTGAAAACCTGCCTTTTCTAAAGAGCTACCTAAATATCCTGTGAGGGCTTCCTGCTCGTCCCCACCCTGGGTGGGCTGTCTCCTACCATCTTTCTCCACAGCTCAAGGGAGGTGAGTTAACAGTAGCCCCTGTTACCAGCATCTGCAGTACAAACCTTATTTATGTGCTGTTTTTTTCTCATTACTCTGATTGTATCTGAAAGTAGGATGATGAAGTCTAGTGTGAGATGGAGAGTTGTGTGATGACAGGATCCGAGATTGGGCTGTGGAAGGGGATAGCCAAAGTCTGGGAGGGTAACATCGTTACTGCGGACACTAAGATAAGAAGGGGCTGCGAATACAGCTGAGAGGTAGTTTGGCCTCTTTCCTGTAAGAATATGTAAGACTAGACTGTGGTGGGCTTACTTGTATTTGTGGTTAGTGTTTGCCTATGAAATGTCAGATGAAAATGCTTGTAAAATTAGATGAGTACTTTTTTAGTACTAAAGTTTTAACTAAAGCTTCAAGAGCATACAGAGATATGTCCTTTGTGAGGTAGCTTTTCAGGAAATAAATGCTCAATTATAGTTGAGTATATAAATTATATATTTATGTGACTATAATGTTCATATTGCTTAGATTCAGAGATACCTTACTTTTTATATTTAACAAATACATATAGGTAAAATCCAATCCTCAAATTCATTTAGATGAAAAAACTTTCCTTCTTCACAGTATAACTATATAGTTTCTTTTATTTTTCTGCAGAAGATTATTGTCGTACCAATTTAGCTTCATCAGTCCAACTTGGAAGTTCTTGAAGTTTCCATTGTAGGAGAATAGGGGTGTGTTTTCCTTTGTTGTGTGTATGCCAAGGACATGCTCGGCCACCTTTCCTAGATTCCCAGCTCCAGCTTTCTGGTTCCTTTTCTTGATAGATACCATGTGTTTTTAAAGAGGTTTCAGGTACTTACTTCAGCCTTTTGTGATGTGGAAGTCAGGCAGAGCTGTAAGTATTTTATATAACAAATTGTCATGAGGGACGATCTAAACTGTCTTTAGTGTAGGTGTAATATTGTATCAGTTGTGACACTGAGTTGGAAGCCTTTCAGTTCATTTTGATTATGAAAATGTAACATTGTTAGTGTCTAAAATTTTAATTGTCTGTTGAAAAGTCTTGTAAACTTCTCTGTAGAAAATGTTAAAAGTATATAGAATCAAACAACATGTTATTCTTTTATAGAGAATTACAAGTATAAGTAGTTTTTTTTAATTCATGTTTAAGTGAATTCATCATTAAATATTCTGAATTCTCAGAGGAAGAGCAAGGAAAGAGATATCTTGATTTAGGGAGCCATTATGAGGCTAGCAAAAAAGCTGGCACTAGGGGAATTCTCAGGAATCCATAAGAATGACCCCAGCTAAGACCCTAAGCCATAGTGGGGAGGGTGTCTGAACTGACTTTCCCCTCTAATCAGATTAACTACTACCTTAATTGTCATCATAGAACCTTCATCTAGCAACTGATAGAAGCAGATAGAGAGACCCACAGCTAAGCACTGGGCTGAGTTCTGGAGTCTAGGCCAAGAGAGGGAAGATTGATAATAGGAGCAAAGGGGTCAAGGCCATGATGGAGATACCCAGAGAAACAGATGACCTGAGCTAGTGAGAGCTCACTGACTCTGGACTGATCGTGGGGGAGCCTTCATAAGACCAAACTTGACTCACTCAATGTGGGTTACAGTTGTGTGACTGGGGTAGTTTGTGGAGCCACTGGCATTGGGACCAGGATTTATCCCAAGTGCTTGAGCTGGCGTTTTGGAGCCCATTCATTTTGGAGGGATGCCTTGCTTAGCCTAGATATAGGGGGAGGGCTTTGGTCCTGCCTCAAAGTGATGTGTCAGGCTTCCTTGACTCCCATTGGGAAGTCAAGACTCTCTAAGGGGTGAATGGGGTCTAGGATTGGAGAAGGTGGGGGGAGAAGCGGGGAGTGGTAATTGGGATAGATATGTAAAATGAGAAAAGATTGTTTTTTTAATCTAAATTTAATAATAAAAAAAAACAAAAATAAATAAATTTTTAAAAAAGATACCTAACTCTCTTTTAAAGAGAAAAATAGTCTTAAATTTTTTTTGTTAATAGTGTTTGGCATTTGGCCCAGGCATTATATGTCATTTTGCTATAAGTCATATTGCAAGAAGTACTTGTTAGAAGTATAATTGATATCTAAGCTTACTTGATGTAGATTAAAACAGTTGTCTAATAGCCAGAGTATATCTTCCCAGAAGCAGAATTAAAAGCTCATAGTAAACTCTTTGCACATATAAACTAACTTTAAGCAAGAGTCTATATTTATTTTATTTAAACTTTATAATCCTCCATTCTCCAGATGTATATAGTAAGTTTCGCTGTGACGTGGGAAGCCGGTACCTTTCCTCTTGATGCCATCATTAGACTCCTGTTAGACCTGTGTGCTTAAATGTGCATAGTAAAGGGATCTCGTACAGCACTATCTACAGCACTATCTATTTCTGTAGATGAATGGAGATTTAAGACAGAACTACTCTCATCCTTTCAACATTTGCTACTATAAGGTGAATTAGTTTGAAATTGTTAAATAATCATACCTGGCCAATCTGAGGCTTCCTGAACATAAATGAAGACATCAGCAAACTTTGGTTGGGAGTGAGGGAAACAAACTCTGAAATCTTAAGATCTAGCCTGAAGAGTAATGTGAAATTGTCAAGTAGTAGAATTTTGTTTTAGTCAGGTAAATATTGTGATTTCTATTTTGCTGTTGAGGAAATTGAGGCTTAATGGAGACCAGAAATGTTTTTAAGACATAGAATTGATGGTAAATGAGAGTTTGATTCCACTTATTTCTAAACCCAAAGTCTGTGTTCATGGTTCTGTTAACCAATACTTTCTTGTAAGAAGGCTACACCCTAATGTTTCCTGAGGGGAAGGTGTACATATTTACACTTGTGTACTTGAATATGTCCACTTGCCGCCATCATTAATTTATTATCTTATTATCTCCTTTGTTAACTGATGCCATTTTCCATTTTTTAATGTGTCTTAGGCATCATTCTTCCTTTCCTTAAGTGTCAACCCAGAGAAGTTGATTTTTATTATTTTATTTTTTTGTTTGCTAAGTATGGTGGTGCACACATGTACTTTCCCAGCACTTGGGAAAGTGAGACTAGAGGGTTGGGAGTTCCAAGACCAACTTGAAACTGTACAGTGAGGCCCTATCTTAAGAATCAAAACACAATAGAAAAAAATAGTTTATACTTGGTTATGTATAATCCAGAGAAACACTTAGATTTCATAGTAAATATGTAATTTCATATTACGTTAGTATATACAAGAATATTTTATTTTTTTGCTTGAGAATTTATGCTCAGACAAATTATATACCAGTCATAATCTAATTCAAATAAAAGTAATTCAAATAAAGATAAATTTAATAAAATAATGTGTAATCATTTAAGATGACTACATCATGGAGAGGAAGGAAGCGGAAATGGAGAATTGCCAGTAAACAGGTATTGATTTTTAATACTTAATGTTAAATTTCTAAAAGTGCTAAGTAACCTAGAGAATATGAATTATATTGCCAGGCCAGCTTTTCACAGCTAGTCTCAGAGAGTATGCAGGACCGCCTGCTTCCTTGGGAGGACTAGAGTTCGCAGAGTGCAAGTCAATGTGGTTAGGAAAGGAAACCAGGTAGGCCCATGGAAAGAGTGACTTCTGCTGCTTAGTCCTATTGTGGAAGCAGCCCTGTGGTCTCTGGGTAAGGATCTTGTGCTGCGTGGTTTTTATTGGGAAAATGGAACCTCAGTTGAACTGCCATGATCAGAATGGCCCATTGCCATTAATTAGTCTTGATTGATGGTTGATGTGGGAAGGCCAGCCCACTGTGGGCAGCACCATCTGTAGGCAGGAGGGTGTGAGCTATTTAAGAAAGCTATCTCAGAATGAACCAGTGAGAGCCAGAGAGCAAGCCGTAAGCAGTATTGCTCCATGGTCTCTGCTCTGGGTCTTGATTGAGTTCCTGCTTTGTCTTCCCTCAATGATGGATTATAACTTTTAAGTGTTAGCCTTATAAACACTTTCCTCCAGTTGCTTTTGTCAGTGTTTAGCATAGCAACAGAAAAGCAAACCAGAACAGAGCTGACATAAGAAGCCACAGCAGTCTTCCCTATGTCTTGACTGGCAGTGTTGTTGGAAGTAGCCTAAGGGTGACTGCCTCAATTTGGCTTGCCATCTTGTTACTCATGTTTGTCTAGATCTGTAAACTCCTCCCTCTGCTCACTATGATCAAGTAATTGGGAGAGATTAGTGCTTCGGGTAAGGATGGAAGGGGAAGGTATGATAGCTAGGACCTAGGGTCAGTCTGTGGGATTGCAGAAGATGATGTTGCTTTCCATCGTTCTTTCCTGGAACACAGGTACCGTTTGCTTCTTTTTAGCAGGCATCTATGTGAGCTTATCCTTAAGGACCCTGAAGGTTTGGGAGGTCTGTCTCTGAGGCCAGCAATGCTCCCTTACTGTCTTTATGTGTTGGTGATACAAGGGATCTTGTTATTTGAGTTTGCACTAGTGTTCTCTGATTCCATTTTCTTCATGTGATTGTTACTTCCTTGTTTTCAATGCCACACATTTAACCTTCCTTCACCTTTCCCCAGCCTTAGTCCAGGCTGGGCTAGAAGCTGAATGATGTGCTTTTCTTGGTCTTGTGCACTTAGTATAGTTGCCATTTGTGAGTCAACTGTGTAGGACAGCAGCTGCAGGGCAAGAAAGCTGAATGCTATACTTTTTTCTAAGTGGAAAATAGAGCTGCTTCCTAACATGGCACCAGAGGTACCATTACAGGGTCCCACTGGGCCCTCACATTAATGCACCATGCAGCTGGGACACCAGTAATAATGAAACTGGGCCATGCTCTGGTGACTCTTTAATGACAGCTTTGAATATGACCAGTGTTAAAACAGAGACACATATACCTTGGATCCTTGCTGCGAGAGTTTAGACTGTGAATTGTGTAGTAAAATCTGAGGGCTACTTTCAAAGGATGCTGTTGTTAATACTTTTTAATAGTGTGCCATGTTCTGTTGCATCATTTCAATAGATTGACAGATAATTACTTACTATGTATCAAAAGATACTTCTTGCTGTATGAGAATAAAATTATATTTAAATACAAGTGTTACAACACATCATTTGGGTTACTTGTTAAAACTAGACTTATTTGCTGTAACGTCAGTTGTTTGATTCAGTGTATTGTATCTCAAAAAATGTATGTGTTCTGCATAAGGAAGTTGAATGAATTTCTTACTGTTAACAGTAGTATGGGAAAAATACAAGTACACATTTTTGAAAAATTGTGGGAACTCTTTGCATTACAGTTTGAAAGCTTTGCTATTCTTATATGGTTTAGAATTGATGTTTTGTTTTGTTAAAAAAATATACTATTTTTTTAGTGTGTTAGTTATTTCAAAACATAGAAATGAGAGGCAAACGGAAGGATATTCCTTACTTAGAATTGTGTTTTCTAACTTCAAATGAGAAAGAGAAGAGAGGAGGAAAGAAAGAAAGGATGTTAAGACCAGAAAGAAAAGTATTGTTTCTGATCCGGCATTATCTTTCCATAGCATAGAAGAGCTGGGCTGAAGGATGTGAAGACGTTGGCTTTTAGAGGTTGAAATGATTGCTTTGGATCAGGGCGTGTATACTCTGAGCCAGCAGTTTCCAATTCACATTTTAACCTTCTTACGTAACTGTGGACAGCTTATTATTTCAGTGTCTGAGGGGTGATTTGTGAGCAGTTCTGTGTAGTAAAGATTATATTTAGATAAATTACACCTTATCATTGGATAAATATTTAGATTAAATTCCGGGAAAATGAAATGCATGATATTCACCTTAAAGAAATTTTGTCCTCCCTCCCTCCCTCCCTCCCTCCCTCCCTCCGTCCCTCTCTCTCTATCTCTATCTCTCTCCTCTCCCCCCCTTTCACACACACACACACACACACACACACACACACACACACACACACACAATCCCAGTATGCTAATAGGTGAAAGCTACTTAAAATGAGCTTCATGAGATACAAGTTATGAACTGTAAACTATTCCATTTGATTTTGGGGAGAGTTCTTATGGATAATATTGTTTTCTTCCCTCCTGCAGAGCTGGCTAGATCCCGCAAAAGAAATAAAGAGACAGCTGAGAAGTGAGTATTTAAAGAACCATACTCAAATTAATTTTTAGTATTTCTGTCTATATAAAAACCTATAGGGATAAATGCTATAGTAATAACAGAATAATACGGTGATGGTTCCGTTTTGCATGCTGAAATCAATGTTTCTGTAAGACACTTGTGGAAATGTAACTGTTTAGCTGGATATGGTGCCAGTTGCTTGCAGTCCTAACACTCAAGAGGTTGAGGTAGGGGATGATGAGCTCCAGGCCACTGTAGGCTGCACAGTGCAATCCTACCTCAAAACAACAACAAAACCAAAAGGATTGTGACTGTAGCTAGCTTAGAGACTCTTCCCTTTCAGAAGGCTATAGACTTACTTTTACATGTTTGTGAAATCTGCTGATGAGAAGTAACAGGCTGACTTTTAAAAAGCACAGCGGAGTTTTGGGGGTGAAATGTTGTGTTTCTGAATGTGCTTGTGGGTGCTTGTGTGCACGTGTACATGCAAATGACAGAGGTCCACTCTTGGTTTCTTTCTTGCTTACTTTCCACCTTATTTTTTGAGATGACATTTCTCACTCAACCTGGAGCCCATCAATTTGACCAGATTTGCCAGGCCATTGAATTTACCAATCTGCCTGACACTCCAGTGTTTCCCTCCCCAAGCTGGGGTTCAAATGCATGCCACTACTGTGCCCTCTTCTCACATGGGTGCTGGAGATTGAGTTCAGTCTTCATGCTTGCACAGCAGGCTTTTACTGACTGAGCCGTCTCCTCACCTTCAGATTTCACTTTTTGTTTGAGACAGTTTGCTCATCCTAATGTACTTCCATTGTAGCTTGGAAGTGTAGATTTTAGTTGTTAGGCATATCCTATATCTGAGAGGCACACAAGCACCTCGCTCATGTCTACTAGAGTGAATACTCCAGAAATGAAAGCTGAGCAGAGGTCTTTCTTCCAGAGCTGTGTGTCTTCTCTGTGGTCCATTCCAAAGTTCCAGGTCGCTTTACCTACCTTTGACTCTGGATTTGCAGTTAGTGTTGGGTGTTCCTCTCCGTTTTTACCACTCATCTTCATTGTCGTGGTTCCCAAATGACCCCATGCTTCCCACTTAGCCAGCTTCAGCTCCCTGCGTAGATGTGCCTCTGCACACTGCCCTGCCTGGGATAGGAGTGCCTAAACACTTAGAATTGCTGAGGAGTCTCTGATAGCAAATCCAGTACTTACTTCAGAGTTTGTGAACACCTGAAACAGGTAGGGAGCCAAAGAGCAGCCTGGAACGCTTAGACTGGGGTGGGGGGGGTGGGGTTTCTGAAGAATAGTTAAGTCCCTCACAGCCCTTCTAAGACTGGACCTGAGATCAGCCATTTCCGAGAAGTAACATGCGAAGTATTAATGATAACATTTCTCCTGTATTATTCTAATGTCAAAACACTGAAACAATTCTGTTTATGCTTTCTAATCTACCTTCTGTCTCCCATGCTAGTGTCCAATCTTCTGTCTTATATTCTCTTTCCCTCTCCTCAGTAACAAAACTTAGCCGTACTATCATTTTCCCCTTCTCTACATTTATTTGTTTAATTTTATTTATTTGTGGGCAGGACTTAACTCTTGCCCTTGCTGACTGTGAATTCGCAATACTTTATAGACTCCTGAGTGCTGGGATTATAGAAATGCACAGCTACACCTGGTTTTCTGCTCTTTATTTGACCTTATCTGTTGTTCTTTTCATATCCACTTTTGTAGATTCATCTGTTTTACCTTTTAAGAATAACTTTTTATTGGCCAGTCTTTTTGCCTTGTCTAGGACTGAGGCACAGTCTAGAATTTGGAACTTTGAGCATAAAGCTAGACGAGTTCCATGCATTCTGGAGTGATTGCCTGTCCTCTCTTTGAACTACTCTGACATCCAGTGTTCATTCCCTTCTCTTTCTCCTTTGTGTTTCCTTATTCACCATTTTGAGTAGATAGAGCTACATTATGTTGGAATTATTGAAGAAACTGTCACAGACGTCCTTCCTTTGTCCCTTCTGTAACTGATAAGTGCTTTGTGAAGGGTACGCCTCAGAAAGATAGAGCGCTTTTACTTTCTCTGAACTTTGATCTGCCAGGCAACCCCAAAAGAAAGAACAGGGCGATGTCCAAAATGTGTTGGTTGGCCCATAGGGTTCTTTCCTGGGTTTACTCTATGGCACTCATTCAGAGTCGCAGGTATTTCCTGTTGGAAATCACCCTTGAGAAGAAAGCTTAAAAAGAAAGTTTGAAAACTTGACAGGAATCTTTGCAAGTAAAAGTGCTTGAAAAACTTGGAAAGCAAGACTCCTGTTGATTATGAATCACGCTCTTATGTCTTGGTTATTTTTGAAGTGTTCTTTAGAGTTATTTTGGGACGTTTGCCCTGGTGGTTTGGCAAAGCAGTAACAATTCAGCGTGACTTTTCCAAACCACCGGAGTTCTTTAAATGGCATAGTCTCCTCCACGATTGCAGCTTAGAAAGTAGTTCCCCTGTTGCAAGTGAGAAAGAACTTTTCCTTTGATTTATCATATTAGATTTTTATAGTTAATAGGCACTTAGAAAATAGATAATTGGAATTACTTAGAAGCTGGCAAGCTTAATGGTTCCCACTTACAATTTTTCTTAAATTTTGGTTATTTCTTAGTAATATACCTAATAGCTGTATGTTTGAAACCTGCCTGTGGATAATATATAAATAACCCATAATTAGTTGAACTGTTTTTTATGTAGCCAGGTAAAATTAGGGATAATAATTAAATTAAAAACCACTAATGTTTAATTTAAAAACACTTTAAGTATACTTACCGTAAAAATAGGTATATGAGGTAATTTCTTTGTTAATTTTAGCCATTCCATGATGTACACATATTTCATATATCCTTGATACCATAAATATATACAATTTTTGTCAGCTGAAAATGTTTGTTTAGTGTTCTTGGATTTTGCAAATACCTCCTTAAATATAGAGGTTCTAGTAAAAACTTGTGCAGCTCTGTGCTAGTATTAACACCTGGAAAACAGATAAACAAGGTGCTGTTGGGGAATGACAGTCTTGTTGTGACTTTACTTGATTATGGATGTGCACACACTCTCTAAAACATGAGAAACTGTTTTCTCTTAAAGTATGTCACGGTATTTTCCTCCCCTACTTTCCCATCATCAGGATCTCTTACAGACAGACATTTCCTGAATATCTACTGTGACCACTTGATCATTTTCATGGTTTGCCAACAATGTGAAAATCCCAAAGGGTGTTTGTTTTGTTTTTTAAAGGAATGAGGAATATTTAGCCCCTAGAAATCCCATGGGTGAAACAAGTTTATCTCAGAACTATTACATGGAGATTATTCAATTTATTATATGATAAATTATCATATAAAATATGTATTTATAAAAAGTAAACCTATTATCTCCTAATAGGTTTACTCTATTATAGAATTAGGTTAACTCTAATAATAGTAAACTTCTTATTCTCTAGTGGCTTACTTATATTAATTTCTAGTTTTTGAAATGTTATTGCTAATGTCTAGGTGATACTAAATTATTCTAGATAAAAAGCAAACAAGCTGTGTTTTGGTAAATAATTGACGTTTTATAATTGCAGACCTTCCCTGGCTGTTCTCTTTTAATGTGAAGTTTTATCCTCCGGATCCTTCTCAGTTGACTGAAGATATCACCAGGTACCTTGTATTCACGTTTTAAAATGCATCTTTGCTAATGACTATTATTTATTTCTGTGCTCTGTTAGTATATTTGTAACTTTAGGACTGAAAATCAAGGAAATTAAAAATGTATGGTATAAATTTTTTGTGTGCCATATGCATGCCTAGTGCCTACAGGTCAGATGAGGGATGAGTTACAGGCAGTTCTGAGCTAGTGTGTGGGTGTTGAGAAGCAACTTGGGTTCCCTATAAGAGCCCAAATGCTCTTAACAGCTAAGCTGAATGCATTCCCGCAAAGCAGTTATTAATATATATTAATCTTGTCTGAGTTTTCTGTCCTGCCTGGTTTCTGCAATCGTTAAGTCCCAAAGAAATCACACATAGGCCTACATTTATCATAAACTGCTTGGCCCATTAGCTCAGGCTTCTTATTAAGTCTTTTAGCTTACATTTTATTCTTGTCTGTGCTAGCCACATGGCTTGGTACCTTTTTCATCAAGGCAATCATATCTTCTTCTGTGTCTGTGCAGGACTTCAGAGGGAGCTTCCCTCTTCCTGTTCTCATTGACCTGCCTCTACTTCCTTTCTGGTTGTCCCACCGATACTTCCTGCCCAGTCACATAATAGGGTAATTTACGTTATAAGAGTTAATACAAAGCCTGAGCTAATGGGCCAATCAGTTTATAGTTAATGTAGACCTCTGTGTGATTTCTTTGGAACGTAAAGACTGTAGGAACTGGGCAGGACGAAATCCCGACAACATACTAATATAATTATAATTTGTTTGTTTCCTTGTTTGCCTATTATTGTGTACATGGGCGATCATGCCAGGGTACACATGTGGAAGTAAGAAGACAACTTTTGGAGTCTGTTCTCTGCTCCCACCTTGATATATGGGATCCAGGGATTGAACTCAGGTCATTCGGCTGCGAGTTCCTATAGCTACTGAGCCATCACACTAGCCTCAGAGCAGCTTTGAAAACAAAACAAAACAAACTTAGTAGTAACTTGAAGTAAACTTCAAAATAGATCTTGTTCCAAATAACTGAAGTATTGCCAGTTTCAAAACCTTATGTATGTGTGTATATATATATGTATATATTTGTTTCCCTTTATATTCAAGTCATAAAATACTTAAAGAAAATATTGCTGTCAGCTTTGTTTTCTATGTTATATGTATGATTAAAGGCATACCTTTAGTATTTCAGATTTTAATGTGACAGTGTTTATTTTTAAATAGTATGTTTGCCTGTGTTAGTTTCATTGTACAGGCATCATACAGATATTTATTGCTGAGGCTGGAAAAATGGAAAATGTTTTGTTTATTTTTACCTTGCCACCTGTTGCTAAATACCAGTCCACTACAGTGCTGATTAATTACTGTTCATCTTTTAACCTTGACTTGATTCAGTTAGCTCCAGCTAGTAAATAATGAATAGTTTTTCTGGCTGCTTAGTGAGTTGCTTTTAGGGCATAATCTCTAGTGTGTTGGCATGTCGGGGATAGAGGGTCTCGGTTGGAGTGCCTTTTAGTCATGAATTTAATGGACTTATGATGCAATGCCCTCTGTCATACATGCTCCTCCTTGCAGTAATCTGGGGATGATAATCTACGGTAACTGCAACTTTATTGCACGGGCATATGTTGATTTTTCCGTTTAAGTAAAATAGTGCTTGAGAAGTTTCCCATTCTGTGGTGGGAAGAACAGTAGGGTCTGCTATGCTGCTGAAACTGCAGTGTGTCGCATGACTAGCTATCTACTTGAGACCTGCTGATGTCCCAATTGAATCTTCACTGTGAGTTGACTTTTTGATGGTCCAGCTGTTTACACTATTCAGAATGAAGTCTCATACCATGTAAAGAAAATAGAGCTGGGAAATTCAGAAAGTTCTTGTCAGTTTTTGTTTGAAAGTTTTAGGTCGTGACTCTGAAGGAGGGAGTACTCGCATGTGAGGTTGAAGGATGTGTAACAGAGCAGGAAGTACCCTGGGTGTCAGTGCTGTAAAGTGGAGACCTAGCACAACTACCCAGGAGTTAAGGGACAACCTGGGATCCAGCTTCAAATTCAGTTTTCTAGAGAAGGTCAGTTATGTTGTGTGGTTCTAGAGGTCAAGGGAACATAAACTTCCTCAAAAAGAGGAAAATGCTCAGGCTGTAGTATCAACAAGAAGACTCATTTATCTAGAAAGTTGTGGAGCAATTGCCAGTGGTTGTGTGAATTCTTTGCTAAGTGTGGGACTGTGATGATTCTGTCCCTTGTGGGATTAGACCGCCTAGAAAGTCAGGTCTAACTAAATTGAACCTGGTGTGGGGAGCCAGAGTGCTCTCTGCCTCACCAGCCTGAGGTCTGGCCTGGAGCCTGTGCTTTACTTAACTGTGGGATAGAGAGCAAGGAAAGGGAGAAAAGTGGGTCCTACAGCCACTTAGACACAGTCAACACACAGAGAAAGAAGTCAGCTTTTACTAGGAAGGCCAGCCCTGGAAAGATGTTTTAAATGAGATCGTTGCTGTTTATTTCAAGGTCATATAATGGTGTAGTGAAACGACTCAGTCATTGACTGCAGGTAGCTGTTGCGATTACACTTACTAGCTAGGATTCCCAGGCTGCACGCCAGCTGCTTATTAATAGACCAACTTTTACTCTCACCTTCAAAGACTTGGCCATGCTGAGGCCTCACACCAGCCTCAGGCAAGTATAGGAACTTTCTTAGGACTGCAGATCAGCTCTTGCGATGTCCAAGTGCTAGCAAGGGCTTGAATGCAGAGTTAGTATGATTGTTGTTAAAGGCATTTCAGGAAAGGAAGACATTAGTAGGAAAATGGTAGAGATGAGCAAGAGTGAGCGACTACCATTTTGTCTTATAAATGATTGCTGTCAGGATATCTATTCTCCTTTAATCTTGGCACTCTGGAGGCAAGGCAGGTGAATCTCTGAGGTAGAGACCAGCCTGGTCTACAGAGTGAGTTTCAGGGCAGCCAGTGCTACACAGAGAAGCAGTGTCCTGAAAAGCAGCAACAACAAACAATGTCTAGTCTCTTAAGTTTTAGACTTAGTTTGGTAGGTAAGCCACCTGTGTAGGAGCTCAGGGAGCAGAACAGAACTTCATATTATGGAAAAGCTATTTTTGCTGTGAATAAAAATAGTTCCAGTATCAACATATGTTTGCAATGGAATATTAAAATTTAGGAATTGAGGGTGTTTTAATGTTAACTAATGTTTCTTCTCCATCCTTTTCTCTTCCTCCTCTTCACAGATATTTCTTGTGCCTTCAGCTGAGGCAGGACATCGCATCTGGCCGCCTGCCCTGTTCCTTTGTGACTCATGCTCTTTTGGGATCATATACACTGCAGGCTGAACATGGGGACTATGACCCAGAAGAGTATGACAGTATCGATCTTAGTGACTTCAAGTTTGCCCCAGACCAGACCAAGGAGATGGAAGAAAAGGTGGCAGAACTGCATAAAACTCACAGGTCTGTTGATGTGCTAGCTGGAGAGATCAATGCCGTGACAGGTAGACATAGTTTGTAATACTCCTTGATGTTCAAGGACAAGTTTTTAGTTTATTTACTTTATCTTTCTGGAACTTGCCCAGCACTGATAGAGATAACCTGCAGCTCTTGAGATGCCCTTTTATTGTTCTTCTTACTGTAACACGGAGATTATGTTCTTGAAACTAAACTAATGTGCATTCCCATATGACACTTCCTTCTCTATCCTGGCCTATCCTTAAGAGATACACAGGAAGCAGACTTGTGTATACTGGTTTCGCACTTACTTGACATTTCTTCTGCTTATTAGTGTCTTTATTACTGTATTTTATAAGAAGGCCAGGGTGGTAGTGGGGATAGATAATATCAAAACACAGTGTATATGTATTTGAGATTTTCAAAGAATGAAAATATTTTTAAAAAGCTAATGAGGAATTGAAGCATCTGGTTTTGAATTAGAAGTATAGATGGTGATGGGTATGGGATAGCCGAAGTGTGCAGCTGTCCCCACAAGTCACAGACAGTGTTCCTTTGGTTTAAGTGGTGATTATTTAAATTGCTTGAATGTTACGTATACCTTGAATACTTTGATATTTCTGTCAATATGGAGTTTTACATGGGTTTTTAAAAATCTCTCTAAGCTCCAAATTTTCAAGGCCACAATTTTATGAAATATTGACTAAAATCATTTGAATAACTTTCAGAGATTTAAAATGCTTAAGGGGCCTTATACATTTTGACTTTATTTAAAAAAATGAAAAAGATCAGTATTTGACTTTTATTTCTGTATTTAAATTCTACTCAATAGACATTTATTCTGTCACTCAGATTTGAATTTGAATTGAAATGGTATAAAATGCTATGTTGGAAATGAAGACCGTTGGGTCAGAGACCTGTTAGCTTATGTTGTACCCATTATTGCCCAGGCCTTTCCCCAGTGAGAAAAATGGAAAGCATCATTTTAAGGATAAAGTTGGTAAGTGTAGAAGTCTGCCTCCTTGACATGTGCAGGTTAAGAGTGAATGCCCGTAATGGAAAAGGTGGAGGTAGAGCTGTAGCTTGCTGCTTACTCCACTCTTCTACAGGCTCGGCCGAGTCACTGTACACTCCCAGCTCTCCAATCCCACACACTTTTTAGTCTGCTTTGGGCATGTTTGCATCTCTTGGTAACACAGTTTCTTTTGATTCTCAGGGGCTTATCTCCAGCACAAGCCGATACTCAGTTCTTAGAAAATGCAAAGAGGCTTTCCATGTATGGTGTTGACCTGCATCATGCCAAGGTATTGTAAATTCAGTGGGAATAACGTTATTCCACTTTAGTGACTGAAGTTCTAGGAAATCTCCAGTTTCACAAAGCCTGGTTCATTTTGGAAAAGGCTGTTTGTCTCCACTTGAGGTCTTTACTATTTCCTGGTGACTACTTAACAGAATTCCTGGGTGTGGGAATCGCTTGTCCTCTCCCTCCTTTGTTCTTCTCTTGTCAGTGTTTTAATGAAGCCCCCTTTGAGAGTTCTTGCCTTTACTCCTTACAGCGGTTCTGGTTCATGCTGTGCCCCAGCTTCTGCTAGACCAGTGGTTCTTAACCTGCCGGTTGTGACTGCTTTGGGGGTTGAAGGACCTTTTTAGAGGGGTCGCCTAAGATCATCAGAAAACACAGACATTCATGATGGTAGCAACATTACAGTTATGAAGTAGTGATGAAAAAATAATTTCATGATGGGGTCAGGACAACTTGAAAAATTGTTTTAAAGGATTGCACATATTAGGAAGATTGACAACCACTGTGCTAGGCCAAGTGCCCTTGTCTTGGCTACTTGTCTCGTCCTCACCTCTTTTGTTTGTTTGTTTTTGGTTGAGGGAGCAGATCTTGAAGCACGGAGAGGGCCAAAAGCAACACAGGCATGCACTGGCTTCAGGTCATGAAGTTCCACGGACTAATTGGAGAAGTAGTGCATAAATGGAACAGTGGAGACAGAAGTGTGATAGAAAGGGTGGGTTGATTGGGCAGATGCCACTGGCAAGCATTCCTGCTTCACCATCCTACATGGAGTGGTGAGACTTGAGGAGGATGAGGGGGAAAGTGATAGACAGGTTTGGTTTGTCCAGAGTTGGCATCCAAGAGATGCTCCCTGTCCGGCAGTAACACACGTAAGTGTTAGAAGTAATTATAGGTGCCTCCAGGAAGCTCCCACCCAGAAATGCCTTCCCTTTCTAGGCCTCAGATTAGTAGTTCTTGATCTTGTATTATACTTAGTACTTGCAAATGACCCTTTTATCTTTGGTGGCTTTATTTAAAATATTTTTATTGTAAAATAGTGTATTAAATTTAGCATAGAAAATAGAGCCAAACAGAAGAAAATGAAAATCACTTGAATCTCTGTGTAGAAAGTTAGTGTTTGGATGCATTTCCTTCCTTGGTTTCTTTCTTTCTTTCTTTCTTTCTTTCTTTCTTTCTTTCTTTCTTTCTATCTATCTATCTATCTATCTATCTATCTATCTATCTATCTATCATCTATCCATCCATTCATCTATCCCTATCTATCTCTCTCTTTATCTCCCCATCCATCCATCCATCTATCCATTTACTTATTTTATTACTTTTGTTTGTTTGGTTTTTTTTTTTTTTTTTT